CTAAAATGTCCTTATGCTTTTGGGTTGGACTTTTAAGCACCGTTTTAATATTTGACTTGTGAAAGATACCAAGAATGTCCTAAATTAGGAAACTGGTTAAAGCTACACCTTTGGTATTCTGCTTCTCAAGATTATGGAAATGCCCCTAGACTTGGAGAATTGGTATTCTAAATATTATTTCAAATGTTCATTTATTTTTAACCTTAAAATCTTGCTTTGGACATTATTTATATAGGTGTGACTTGTTGTCACTACAAATCATTAATTCAAAAGTTGCACTACGGCCAATAAAATATTATTTACGTTGTCAATTATTTATTTTAGCTATTTTCATAAAGTATTTACTTTTGAAGAAACTGTGAATACATGATACATTTTTATAAAATATTTAAACATCGATTTTTACTTCGAGAAATATTATAATTATTTCAAGTAAATATTTGAGTGGGAAAAAAAATGAGATATGAAGGTATTCGGGGTTGAACAAAAAAAATTTGTTTATAGTTAGTCATGCTAAGATCCTTAGGAGGTAATGATCAATTTAGCTACGAATATTTAAGATACTTAGCAATCATATGAAATATCATGTAGGTTGCAGTTTTGAGAAAACGACCTATCAAACATAACGATTCACGGTGAGTACATTATGCAGTTTTTATGGAATATATACGTGATTATCACAAAGTATTTTATCCATGATATTTGCATGATATGTTTATATGTATATGATGATGACTTGATTATATTGATGTACATGATATTCAAGTATATGCATGATATGAAAGACGTTGATTATGATGACTTGATATTTTTAATATGATAGTCAAGTATATGTTGAATATGATGATGATGCATATGAGATTTATGTTGTCATTTGCACGAGATGTATATTGCATGCCACGATGAGATTTGCATTAATGAATGAGTATTGCAAATAAATGACATGCAACTAGTATGATTCGACAATGTTCGTCCACCATACAGGGTGGGTTGGACATGAAAGGAGGGCTTGCAATTCTGGGGTCTTGAAGTCCTAGTCCATAGAAGATGTCACATATGCAAAGAAAAATGATGAGTCGAGACCACACTTGTAAGATAATAATTAAAATACGCTAAACTAATATTATATGTGCATGTTATCATAAAACCATATTATATTCATCAAACTTTTTAACTTATACTATACATGTATATATCTCAGGTGTCGATTGTCACTAGACGTTTTGAATAAATAAAGATGAGACTATGTTTTTTATTCATGCTTCTTTAGATATTAAAGTTAGCATTGTTATTTGTTTATGTTAAAATATTTTATGCTTTCGCAATTATGTAATGAATTATGTTCAACATATTATATATGTTTCGAAGTTTTTAAGTTCGTATTTTTTACAAGGCATAAGTTATTAAAACTGACATCACGACACTAAAAAAATTGAGGCATGACATTTCTGTTTTCTTATCGAGTTCTTTTAATTTGAATCGTTTGTTAAAGCATCCATTCGAAGAAATTGTGTTCGAAATCTTCGAATGGATCAGGCAGAGTGGAACAACATAACTCAAATCAGGAAGAACCCAGAAATTTTTTCAAACGATAACACCATTTGGTCATAAGAAAAAAAAATATAGGAATTTTTTTTTCACACGGTGACACCGTTTGACTATAAGAAACAAATGTACATATTTTTTTTCTTCAAATGATGACACTATTTGACTAAGAAAATAACACTAACAAGATTCGAACTTAAGTCTGGGATGGACCAAAAGCCTTGCAAACCAACTCTACCAAATAAAACTTGTACTCATTGTAGTTTCAAAAGTGGCACACAACAAATTAATACGGTTGCACATTTCACAAACCTAATTTTTTTTATCCTTCAACGGAGGAATAATACGATAACACGTGCCACCATATGCCCTATAATAGGTCCGTCCATGACTCAAATCGTCGTAAAAATCATAAATGAAACATAGTATGAGAAAAAATCTAGGGTTTTTTTTTGGAGATGGAAAAACTTACCTTCAAAGAGAGATGTAGAGCGGAGAAAAAGGGTTTTGAATGGAGAAATTCATTTTGATATATAATAAATCAATTTGAATTTCTATTAATTAATATATTATATTGTTTAAATTTTTTATCATATGGTTTATATTAATTAATATATTATATTTTTATTAAATAGTCTTATATATTATGAAATATTATAATCGACTAATTTTATAACATGTCTTTATTAGTCATTTTCTATTTTTTAAAACTTGATTAGTTTATCAACTAGCTTATAAACCAACAACTAGTTTATCAGATATCAACTAGCTTATCAACTAATAACTAACTTATAAACTAGTTGAAACAATATTTTTATTTTAGTATAGTCGTTGAAAATGCTTTTAAAAGAATGTATATTATAATTGTTAAAACAATTTTTTTTTCAAATCTCCGAATCTTTTAAAATTACGTAACCGTTGAAGATGTTCTAAGTATTTAAAGATCACAATTAACTGTTGAAGATGTTAAATTTACTGAGAGCAATTTTCTTTTCAAATATTTTATATATATTTTTTATACAAAAATTTCTTTTAATTCGCATCTTAGTAATTATGACGTGATATAAAATCATATTATCAATAAATATATATTTTATTTAAGGGGGAGGTTAATGACACCCCTACTCCTTACCAATGGCACCCCTATCCCTTATATAATGATTTTTTTGGTTTTTTTTTTGTATTTTTGTCTTTGTTGTCTTTTCCCTTTTTTATATTAATTTTTCTTTACTTATTTTATTTAATTGTAAATATATTTCTATTACAAATATTATTTATTATTATTTAAAAATATTATTACTGGTAATTGTACATTAA